AGCTATAGCACTCCTGGGAATATATCCCAGAGAGGCAAAAAGGTATAGTCGAAGTGACATCTGCAATTGTTTGTTCATTGCAGCACTCTTTACAATAGCCAGAATCTGGAAAAAACCTGAGTGCCCAAGAACAGATGACTGGTTAAAGAAACTTTGGTACATTTACACAATGGAGTACTATGTAGCTGTTAGAAAAGATGAAGTTATGAAATTTACATACAAGTGGTACTACATGGAAAGTATCATGTTAAGTGAAATGAGTCAGAAAGAGCGGGATAGACACAGAAAGATTGCATTCATCTGGGGAACATAAAGCAACAAAACGGGAGACTAACACCCAGGAATGGTTGAGATTAGTACCAGGAATTTTGCTCCATGACTTGAAGGCCAGCCACATGTGCTAGGTGAAAAGGAAGCTCAGATAGAGAAGAGAGCACCAAATAAAGGGTGTTGTGAAGACCCTCCCAGGGTGGGAGAGACATGCTAAAAGTAGTCTATAGACCAAACATGATTGCCACTCAATGCCTCTCTGGCAAAACACAGTACCCAAAAGAAGAGAGAGAGAACAAGGGGGAATGCCCTGCCACAGCGTCAGGGTGGGATGGCGGGGGGGGGGGGGGGGATGAGGGGGGGAGGGATGCTGGGATCCGTGGTGGTGGAGGATGGGCACTGGTGGAGGGATGGGTACTTGATCATTGTATAACTGAAACCCAAGCACAAAAATTTATAAGTCTATAACTGAACCTCATGGTGTTTCACTAATAAAAAAAATAATTAAATAAATAAACAAAAAAAAGTGCTTTAAAAAAATACCAGTTCATGCAGCAACAACAAAAAAAAAAAAGAAAAGAAAATTCTGGAGACATTATTGTTTTGCCATCTGAACCAGGCAGAGAAAGACTTGTCAGACAGATGCCAGGAAAATAATCAAAGACGTGACACCATGTGGGGATAAGACTTCACTGACCAAGGGCCGGTCCACTTGGGCTTCAGCTATGGTACCATTAGTGTGTATTAATATTGGAAGAATCAACCGTCTTCAGAGGTTGATAAGAAAGCATTATCTTGGAAACTCATTAGTGGCTGAACTAAATCACGTAGTTATCCTCTCTTTCCTGTTCTGGCTATTCTGCTGACCATCCTCATGGAATTCATGCACAATGTCTTCTTATACAAGTGGGGTGTCATTTTTGGGGGGTTAGCTCACAGGACTAGAGCACATGCCTTGCACACATGAGGCTCTAGTTACAACCCCCGACATCACATGCTACCCCGACCAGCACCACCAGGTATATCCCGATGACTCCCAGCAGCACTGGACCCCACCAGGAAACCTGAACTGCCCACTCTGTTATCTCCAGGAGGGGCCCCTGAGCACTGTTGGGGAGCACTACACACACGCCTCCAAAGTCATTCTTTCTACCAAAATAACCAAAAAAGGTCAAACTCGAATCTCACCATTTTCAGCCTACAGTGAACAAAGGGACCCTCTCCATCCATGGCTGCTCAGTCAGGATGCTGGGCCTTTGCAGCTCTGCCAAAGGCAGAGAATAGGTCCTGAATCTGCTCCAGGCCCTGGGTCCAGCTGGCAAGTGGCAGGAACACCACGAACAGAATAGCCTCACCGCGCTGCACACGAGCGCACAATCAGCATGTTTCAGGTGGTGGGAACGGGCACGGGCCAGACAAAGTGTCTCAGGAAGGCGTGAGTTCTTTGTCCAGACCCCAGTTACTTCCCACAACCATCCCCTGCCCTCTGCATGCAGGGCAACACCATGTGAGCTGAGAGTGAAGCTGGAACTCAGAGCACCTTAGGGGACAGGGTCTAAGCCTGATCATGGGGCAGATGTCTATTCCAGTGTCCGCCCTGGGTGTAGGGTATTCCTACACCTCCCATCCATGTCTTAGCTTGTCCTCCGAGACTTGAGCAAGAGCCTACTGGTTCGGGCCACTCACAATGGACAGACCATGAGGATTTAAAACAACTAAAGCAACGACTAACAGAGACAGAAATCAATGTTTCTGGGGCTGGAGCGATAGCACAGTGGGGAGGGCATTTGTCTTGCACGGGGCCGACCCAGGTTCGATTCCCAGTATCCCATAGGGTCCCCTGAGCACCACCAGGAGTAACTCCTGAGTGCAGAGCCAGGAGTAACCCCTGTGCATTGCTGGGTGTGACTCAAAAGAGGGGGGGGGGGGGAAACTCAATGTTCCCGAGACTGGGATTCCCGCTCTCTGAGCACTCGGTCTAGCTACAGATGGCTCAGGCCAGAGGAGAGAAGGCATCTGTTCCTGTATTTCCTGTTCAGGCACGCTCGGCTCCAAGCAGAGGTCCAGCCTTTATTTCTACCTCTTGCCCCAAACCGCTATTCCTGAAGGAAATTCCTTGAAAGATGAGGAAACTCGTTGTGCTTTTATCCCCGAGTTTCAACCTTTTATCTCAAAGCATTCCTGGCTTATTAGAGAAGCAGAACAAGCCATCCCCAAATACCCAACGGGGACTCTCCCTCTCCAAACTTAAACTAGACCCCGATGAAATAAAGAGCCCCTTTTCCAAGTTCAGCAATTGGGTTACTGGGATGGTTTTAAGATCAAAGGAGGTTTCATACTTCTACAATTCCAGTAATCTTGGAGAACCAGTCACTTTTCAGATGTTTCTTGGCAAAGAAGGCACACAAGGTCACCAAATCCCTAATTCCCGATCAGTCATCAATCACACAAGATCCAGAACTCTGAGTCGCTCTCCCACGAGAAGACCCCAGTGGTGTGGGAATGTCCTTGGTATTGGGCCCAACTCTGATTGGGTTTCATCTAGCAAGTCACGTTCCCCTCTGAACCTATTCTTTTCTTCTCTTTTCCTTTCTTTTTCTTATTTAGACATTCTAAGTTCAAAGTTGTTGCAGAGTTTCAGGCACACAGCGTTCCTGAATCCAGTCTTACCACCAGTTCAGCTTTGTGTCGGGTAGATCAAGCACTGTGTCCAGGTGACTACTGGGGACCGTCCTGCCCTCAGGGAGTCCCTAGTCCAGAGGCAAAGGACCTCCCTACCTACTGTACTTGCTCCAGTTCCTGGACAGCTGCCTTTCCCCAGTCCCTCACTGGTTTGACATGTCAAAATCAAAACCAGTAACAAATAGGAAGGAAGGAAGGAAGGAAGGAAGGAAGGAAGGAAGGAAGGAAGGAAGGAAGGAAGGGGAAGGGAAGGGAAGGAGGGAGGGAGGGAGGAAGAGTGAAACACAAACATTACGTCACCCACTTTGTTTCACACCTTCCCCATCCTTTTCCTACTGCTCTGTCCAATACCTTGGTCCAAGAGGTATATCTTTGACTTGACCTTTTGGAACATTTAGGGGCATCTCTTTCCTTGGCTATTGAGGCACGTGGATTTAGAGCATGATGAAGTCTTCAGGGTGCGTCTGTATAAGTCAGCATCACACACACCCCACCTCCACCCTGTGTCCTACAAATGACTCCTCTCCCTTCTCTCTTTAAAGTCATTCCCTTGGCCTTTTGTTCTCAGATTATTTTTTATTTACTTGGTTCATTGATAATCTTTATGATTGTATAAGAGTGAAATCATAGGGGTGGTTCTCGGGTGGACTTATTTGTCTGAGCATAATATCCTCTCCGTCCATCCAGGTTTAAAGTAGAAACTCCATACCCTCCAGCGCTCACCTACGGAAAAGTCATTGGAAGGGTTGGGAACCACTCCCTTCAAGAGACATGTGCACCCCCACATTTACTTTCATGTTCTTGACCACAGTTGCAGGTTAGAGATCATCTAAGTGGTATGTACTTGCTCCACAGACAACGGATACGTGAGGTTTTCTACTGTGGGATTGCACTTGGCTACTAAAAAGGATGCAACCCGCCACTCATAGATACTTGGAAGTCATTGTTCAGTTGTCTCCTCACCTCACACAGGAGCTGTGTGCATGGCAGTGAGGCTTTGCCACGGCTTTGGCAGGGTCTGGTTCAAAGCCAGAAGCCCCCAACTTCCAGTCCCCAAGGAGCCAAATCTTCCTCTGTCACCGCCAACTCAGGGCATCTCAGGAAGGCCAGACCTGTCTGCCCAGCGGTGGCAGGGCTCTGATGGAGCTGCCTCCCCGAGCACCCCCACCCTGATGGTCCCCACCTGCCAGCCGGTGTTAACTGCTTTTCATCTTTCCTCTCTCACTGTTTATTACAGCTTTGTGGGAAATTGGTGAGGCGAAATATTCTTCTGCAGAGGAAATACTCTAAAGGGTAAATGTCATTTCTGATGGAAAGGTGAAATAATACCCTAAACTTTCTTTCAGCAAAAAAGAAAAAAACCTGTGTTTTATAAAAAAAAAACAAAAACGATGAAAGTGGTCGCCATTATTGGTGGGCTGGAGGCTGGCATCTGGGCTCCAGGTGAGCAGCCCTTCTTTTCTGCACTCCTGAAAGAAGCGTCAAGAAAGGCAGATGTGGGACAATAGAATAAACCCGGTACCCACTAATTTACCTAATTTTGTATCGTGATGTCTGGGTGCATAAAGCAAGACGTGACTACAGGGAAGAGAGAAAATAAAGCATTTTGGAAAACAGTCTAGACTGGCTACCCAGCTCTAAAATAACCCAACATTTTATGAAGGGGGGAAAAAAACACCTCTTGCCTCCTTGTGAAAATTACAGGTGGTTTAAGCTGGCTGTGCTGTTTTAAGAAAACAGTCTGTCATACTCTGATTTAAGATCATTCTGAAGAGCTTGTTCTCTGGGCTGACAAGGTGCCGAGTGGAGGACGCTGAGGCTCTGTGAGGTTGGTGGGGCCTGTGGCCAGTTAGAGGCGAACTAAAGGGCTGCAATGGGTGTGGACAAGATTCTCGGCCACAGCTCCTGCAGGCTGAGCTGCCTCCCTGGGAAGGGAATCTCGGGGGGACCAGCTCTGTCTTCAGTTGGTGCAGCGGTGGCTTGGCACTGTGTTAGAGAAGCCACGTTTATCTCCCGCCCCTTGGCGAGTGTTCCTTAACAGCCCGCAGGTACCTGAAGCCCATCCTAACCCACTCAGGCCCTCCGCTGACCAGCACGTTACCGGAATGGTGTGGACCCATCTCCAGGCTGCTCACCAGTCCTCAGGCCTATGGGGTGAGTAAACAACCCCCCCCCACCCGTGGGACAGACCCAGGTTATTGATGAGTCTGGAGAGCCGGGGAAGCTCCAGCTTCCTTGGAATTCACTGCGCCGAGCACTGTCTCCCCCCCCTTCTCCCTCGCTGCGGAGGTTGGCTCCTTCTTCTTTGAAAAATGCAACTTTTTATGGCCACCAATATTTTTTAACCAGAAAATGGATTTCGAGCATGTAAAGGAAGCCATGTGTCCTCAGCTAACTGCCGTGCTTGGAGCTTTGGAATCTCAAGCCGGGGTTTTATCACTCAAGGGAGTGGAATGAGAGAAAAAAGAGAAAAATGCCGAGAAGCAGCTAGAATTATGGCCGACAAACTGTAGCAGAGGAGAGCAGAGAAGAGCAGAAGTTTGGGGTTCATGGACCACTCCCACTTCCAGGGTTTCCAGCTGGGCAAGAGAGAGCATGGCCAGTCTAGCACTGCGGCCTTGGAACATGACCCTCAAAGTGAGGTCCCCAGCCGCAGCCTGGGAAATGCAGGCTCATGGGCCCTGCCTCCAACACGGAGAGTTGGGGTCCCGGAGGCCCCTACCCAGTGCCTCCCACCATGTGACCTCAGCAGGGCTCACGTGAGATCAACACCAAGGTTGGCCACCCAGAGATGGTAAAGCCAGAGGAAGAATCCAGAGGTTCTCAAGGCCACCCCAGTCTGAGGAACACGGGCGTCTCACATCTGCCTTGGGCCTTATGGCGACTTCTAACGCTTTCCTTGTTTTTGCTTTTTTTTTTTTTTTTTTTTTTGGTGGGGGGAAGCACTAGCTTACTCTTGGCTCTGTGCTCAGGGCTCACTCCTGATGGGGCTCAGGGCACCCAGATACAGTGCCAGGGATCCAACTGGGGCTGGCTGCATGCAAGGCAGGCACCGTGGCCAGGACTGCCTCTGTCACGTCCACTCCCTTACCGTCTTGTTATACACCCGCGCAGGAACAGACACACTCCAACCAAACATCACTCACCCGCAGGCAGGAAGGTTGTGCCTCCTCTGTGAGTTTGGGGGACTCAGAGGCACGACCCCAGCAGCCTTGTCAGTGCAGCCAGGGGAGGCCACACTCTCTCACGGTGCAGGCGAGTGTCTGAGGCACCGGGCATCCTTGCAGACCCTCTTCTCTGAGCGGAATCCCCTGCATGCATTTGCCCAAAGCCGGAGAAAGCATCGTTGGGATAGGGGCACCCAGGAGCATCTCAGTCAGAGCTCAGCTCCCCTCGGGCACCACTTCCTCTCAGCCGCTGACATGTCAGCGTGGGAATGTCCCCGGCTGTCCCATTGCTCCACCCTCCACCTCAGTCCTGGGATCGGCAGGAGTGTGGTGCAGGTTCATGGGGAATCTGCTCCCAGGACCCCCGACACCTCACTCCTCATCAGGCGCCAGGAAATCCAGGGTAGCCCTCCCCCACCATGTCCTGTCCCCAGCCTGGTTCAGCCTCATCTCAGGCAGGGACCCCTGGGGACTCGGGGAGGGGGGCGGGGGAAGGGGTCCTCAAAGCTGACCTGGGAAGTGGAGGCGATGGTGGTGGCTGTTGCTGAAGCTTCAGCTAGGGGCAGCTAGGAGGGACTTGAGCTCCTTACCCTGGCTCTGTGCAGAAGGCTGAAGTGGTAACTCTCTCTCGCTCCCTCTTCCTCTCTCCCTCCCTCCCTCTCTCCTTTTTCTCTCTCCCTTTCTCTCCCTTTCTCTCTCCTTTTCTTTCTTCCCCTCTCTCCTTCTCTCTCCCTCTCTCCCTTTTTCCCTCCCCCTCCCTCTCCCTCTCTCCCTTTCCTTCTCTCCTCCTCATTTTCTCTCTCTTCCTCTCCCTCCATCTCTCCCTTTCTCTCTCCTTCTCTCTCTCCCTTTCCCTCTCTTTCCCTCCCTCCCTCTCCCTCTCCCTATCTCTCCCTCTCTTCCATGTTCTCTCTCTCCCTCTCCCTATCTCTCCCTCTCTTCCATCCTCTCTCTCTCTCTCTCTCTCTCTCTCTCTCTCTCTCTCTCTCTCCCTCTCCCTCTCTCCCTCTCCCAGGAACAGCTCAAAGAAGATGATGTGGAGTGCATTGTCCACCAGGACGAACTGGCCATGAATGTCCAGGAACAGGCCACATCCCCCGGCAGCCCGGGTGTGGGGCTGGGTCTGAACCAGCAGCCATCGCCCCAGACACCCAGCAGGGAAAACATCTACGAGGGGGACCTGGGCCTTGGGGGCTATGGTCTCAAGCTCGAGCAGGCCCCGGGGTCTGCCCAGCTGAAGTGACGGGCAGGGCGGGGTCAAGGATGGAGTCCAGGAGGCTGAGGACTGGGGCCGCGGGGTGAGGGGACACTGGTCTCTCCCACCCCCTGCAGAGATGGACACGTCCCTCTGCCTCCCACAGGGACTGGATGTCCTGCCCGCAGCCAGTCCTGCTAATGCACCGAGGGGAGGGGAAGGGGACGGAACAGGGAGGGGGCAGCGCCTAGCTGATGTGTCTGTTCCCAGGGCCCTGGATGACTCTGCGATGCCCTTTTTGCCCAGGGTCCAGGAGGCTGTTTCTGGCGTCCCCGCTGCTCGATGCCACTGGGCCGGCTGCCGCCTCTGCCCTGCACCCCCCACTCCAGGCTCTGTCCCCCCTCAGTGAGCTCTTGGCATCTGTGCTTCTGGGGGGCTCCCACTTAGCCTCCCGGATACCCCCCACCCAGGCGAGCTTGTCCCTTGCAGAGGACCCCTTCCGGTGAATGCAGGAGTCCTTGCTCGCTGCCCTGCCCTGCCCTGCCCTGCTGGACCAGGAGATGGACCTCCCCAACCTGCTGGCCGTGGTGTTGCTCCTGGGTTCTGTGGCAGATCGCCCGAGCCCCAGGAGGAAGAGCCTCCACTGCCTCTGGACCCCAACATTGCCCCCAGCAGCTGTGGCGAGGCAGGAACGGGGGCCAGCCCCACTCCAGAGCCGAGAACACAGCTGCAGGAACCACGCCTTTATCCACTGTCGAGATACCTCAAGCCCAGCACCCCCTCCAAACCCAGATGCTGCCCCCAGAAAGCAGACTCAAATCTCAGGGGCCCCGGCTAGGACGAGCCTGCTTCTGAGGGGGGGTGGGGGCGTAGCCATTGCTTTACTGGCCTGTCACAGGGCCTTATACTGACCTGTGGAGGTAGGGGGACACCCTGCCGTCCCCCCCTAACTGCCACCCCGATGTCTGCCTTCCCCAGCTGTAGATTCCAAGGGGCTGCACTGGTTTAGCTTCTGCCAGATACCTCCTCCAAAACACAGTGAAATACAGTGTTTTCTAATATGAATCTTAATAAAATTTTGATCGGAACCTGATGGTGTCAGCCTGTGCTTGATGTCTGACATCTCTTCTGTCCATGCGCACGGGCAGCCCTGAGTCCTGCATCCAAGAGCCAGGAACAGCAGAAAGTTTCTGTGAGGGACACGCAAAGGCCCTGTGGCCCTCCAGCAAAGCAAGTGGCGGAAGGAGCAAGGAGAGGGGCCCAGGACTGCAAGGACAGACTGTGGGGAAGAGAAAGGGAATCAGGGAGCATGGGCTGAGGAAGCGGAGACTCGGGGCACCTCCCATGCTGAGGGAAGGGCCACAGGATCCAAACCAGAAGGAGGGAAGGAGAATGAACCTCTCCCTGGCTCTGTGGATTCTTTTGTATGCAGAAAGACAGAGCAGAGTAAGGGAAAGCTCCCAACACACACACACACACACACACACACACACACACACACACACACACACACGCACACACACGCACCCACACAACCCCCCTTTCCCCAAAAAACAGACCAGAATTAATGGGAGAAAAGAAGGAGAAAGGATGTATCCGATGGAAGTGAGAGGAGGGGACCCCAACTCACAAAAATATTCTCTGGGATCCTAGAAAAGCCCTCTTGTCCTCAGAACCAGGACCCCAACCATGCAGAATGGGGGCAGAGGGCCTTTCTGGCCCAGGACCCGAGCTCCACCGACTCAGCCTGCAGCAGGAAGTCACTGAGTCAGTCAGCTGTGAGAGGATGTTCCCATTTCAGTTCTCACTCCAGCCTCACTCCCTCCCTCCAAACTAGTCAAGACCCAAACAGAGGCCCGTGTCCCCACAAGAGGTAAGAAAAGCAAATTCCCTTCAGCGCCTGGCATGAAGGCTGGTCGCTTATGGTCTCATACACAGCTGGCCCAGATTTACTCCCCAGATGGCTCCCTGAGCCCGCTAGGAGTGATCCCTGAGAGCAGAGCCTGAACGCCACCAGGTGAAATTAGGAGCAAATCTGTGCTTTGATTAGCAGCATCAAGGCTGTGAAATGCAAGCCTGTTCTTTACTTCTAGCTCCTAACAGACAGTCGAGGCAAAGACGTTTTCTTCAAACTATGCATGCAGACCTTAATTATCAGAGCTTCAAGGAGGACTCCTTGGTCAGTGGCTATGGTGCTTCGTGAACGTCTTACCCTGTTGGTCCCATCCATAGCCCTGGTTTCTGAGGCCATCCATGTCTGAGCAGGCTTGAAACCTTGAAGTGAGTGTCCCTCAGGGTCGTAATTGGGGAAGTTTCTAGAAATTTCTCAAAATGAATGGTATAAATTGAAGCTCAACAAATACCCTTGGATCCTGCATGACTTTCATTCTGGATATTGGAGTTGACTATACGTATTGAGGGTACTTACTGAAGTCACCAAACTGCCTTCCAGTCATCTAAAGCCTGGCACGCCGTCTCATGAATCAGCATCACGTGGATCAATATTCAAGTTCTATTATTAAATAAAATCTCCCGGTGCAAAGCTGCGGATGTGCTGGCTCTCTGCAAGGTCAAAGAAGAATTTGGTGGGGCCACAGCCTCTGAAATAGTGAGAGGGGGCTCAGCTTTTCACTTTTGCATCTTTGGAGATTTGTACTCTGTGTATGCATGATTTATTCACAACCAAATTAAATAATAATAAGATCCTTATGAAATAACTCCCTGAGAGTTCCAATCTACAAGAAGAAATGGGGAAATGCCACAGACACGTGAATTTTCGCTGTGATCTTTGAGACATTAGGAAGACAAAATGTAGCCCCCAAGGGCAGCTGGATTTCTTCATAGGCATCATACTATTCTCAAGAAAGCAAATGAGGTAAGAGGTCTTTGAATTTCAGTGACAGATCAGACACAGTCTCATCCATATCTAAGAGGAGATATCTAAGAGGAGAATACAGGCAACAGAAATAATGGTTGGTTTTATTTCAGTACCAAAAACATATGATAAAGCTACAGGAACTAAAGCAGAGTAGTCCTGAGCCAGAAATAAGCAGAGAAAGATCCAAGCATAAATATAAAATGCCATTAAATTTCTTTAAAATTCCTTTAAATTTGAGGGTGGGGATGAATGGACTATTATTCAATTAGGAATATGAACCAGTTGACTTTCAAGTAAGAAAAAGAAATAAAATTGGACAATACCCTCCAACAGAAACCAAGCTAAATTGCAAGTAATGTGAATAGATAAGGTAAAGACTATGACCATAGGATAACAAAAATAAGGTTAAATGAACTGAAACATGTAAACAACTTTGGTGTATAGATAGTCTTTCTGAAAAAGACACAAACCAAAATGAAGAATAATAAAATTCACTACTTAAAAATATCAAATGCCGGGGCTGGAGCAATAGCACAGCAGGTAGGGCATTTGCCTTGCACGCGGCCAACCCGGGTTTAATTCCCAGCATCCTATATGGTCCCCTGAGCACCGCCAGGGGTGATTCCTGAGCACAGAGCCAGGAGTAACCCCTGTTCATTTCCGGGTGTGTGACCCAAAAAGCAAAAAAAATACATATATATCAAATGCCTTATGATAAAAGATACAAGTGATAAAGAGAAAAATACATACTCTTTTTTGTGTCTATCAGAAAATTTTTCAGATTATACAAGAAACTTACCAATGTACAAGAGAAGGAAATTAAAGCTACCAAGTACAAAAATATGTCAAGAATGTGTAGAATCAGGCCACAGACATAATACAATGGGTTGGCACTTACCTTGCACGTGGTAGACCCAGGTTCAATCCCTGGTATCCCAGATGGTCTTCTAAGAACTGCTAGGAGTGATCCCTGAGTGTGGAGTCCAGGGTAAGCCCTAAGATTCACTGAGTGAGACTAAAAAACAAACAGAAATATATATATATTATATAATCAAATACATATACACCAATGTTTTGACATCTCTGTAGAAAATAAAATACTTGATACATATGCCTAAGGAGGCATACTGAATGCTTTTCATTTGTGGCACTTTGATTCCACAGTCGGGGGAGGGGGGGGCGCAGTGGGCCTCTCCATCACACACAGAGGAACTGTGTATACTACGGTGCACTCTCTCGGGACCAGCCCACAGCACTGGGATTCTAGAGACAGCTCCATCTGCATGTCTTCACATGGAAACGTTTCCAAGACAAATTGTTGGTGGGGGAAAGTCTGGAATGATCCACAGCAGACCCATAACCAAAAGTGGGAAGTAGGATTAGGTCTGGATCCTGAGAGACTTTTGGCTTATCCGTGGTACTTTTAATTTTTACAATGATGCCATATTCATGCACCATTGACCCCAGGGTGTTTCTGGCTTTATGATGGGGAACAGAGGAGTTCCTCATCACCAAGAACATTTTCCGGGGAGAAGTGACAATTGAGTGAGGGGCCAAAAGATGAGAGGGCTGGACCAAGAAGGCATGGCTGGTGCTGGTTTACAGATCCAGGTGGGCAGAACCATTAAATTTCAGGAAGAGGGAAAGCACAAACAGATTAAAGGGATGTGAAACCACCTTTGAGGAACTTCAAAGGGTTCCACGTGGCTGGGGTGCTGATGTGTAGGAGAGCTGAGGAATGGAAGAGTCCATCGATGAGGCATGGGTCAAACTAAGGACTAAGGGCAATGGTCCTGTGCGAATGTGGAATTATAGAAAGACGTCCCACAAAGAAGATATGTGCGTGGATTGTGGGAAGATGAGGTGGAAGGGAGGCCAGAGGTGGCCATTGGGGGTCCAGCTGGCCCAATGTCCTAACTTGCTTAGTTTTAGCATTCAGTTGTTGGAATGCATTTCAGTGGCCCACATTAGAGAGCCGGTGAGTGACATGTGGAAACTGGAATCAGGGAGAAGGAGGGGTGGAGGATAGGTTCTAGGTAAGTTTCAGAGCAATAACCTACTAAGTTGACCCCGATTGGATATAACAAGTGTGGAAGCTGGGGAACAGCCCAGAGTGACCCCCCACTTTTGGCTTAGATGAAAACTGAAAGTTGGGTCTAGCCGTTGGGAGAAACGGGGAAGAGCCACAGGCTGGTAGAAGCCCAGGGAGTTTCGCTTTGGGGTCGCTGACTCTGAAGAGCAACAAGAGGGGCACTGGGGGGACTCAACTGCCACAGGCGACCCCCTCAC